TCTATGAGTCGCGCGGTATTCACGTTTATACACAGAGATTATGCATTGTAATCATAGCTTTAAACAAACAAAAAATCTACAAAGATGGTTTAATTCAAATGATTCTGTCCCTTAAGTATCTTAATTGCATTTATATCTAACCTGGTTTGATTTTCCTCTCTTAACCCTCAACTCTACCTTTACTTTCACATGACCTTGACATACCTATTTAAATGAAGTGGTCATTTCTGTTTAACAAGCGAAAAGATCAGTATCACCGTTACACCAACTTTATAATCTAAAGCCTTTTTACAAATATTTTTTCTTTCTAATTTAAATTTTTCAGTATTTGATTATCGTTACACTAACTTTATAATCTAAAGCCTTTTTACAAATATTTTTTCTTTCTAATTTTAATTTTTTAGTATTTAATTCATGATTAAGTGATGTATTATCAAATTCTAATCTGATGTTATCTGCTGTATTTGAAATGAGAATATCTAGGTTTTGTGGGTAGTTTTTATTTTTCTCCGACAACAAAATTAAAATGATGCAGAAGCATGAACATGGTTTTAATATTGCTAATTAATGGCAAAATGTGCTAAATTAAACCTAATGTATCTTTTGAACCCAAAAGTCAACTTTCTCACTTTCAACAAGATAAACCTGCATATTTTTTTTTCATTATTTTTTCATAATTTTCAACCAAAACCTAAATGCAATTGAAAATTTCCAAAAAAAAGTATGGAGGAAACAGTTGTCATGTAGTGTGCGCAAGTGAGTTTGTGTCAAAAAACAATGTATTGTACACGTGTATCTTGAATGAGACCCACGTCATACAGAACGTGCCAGTGACCGTCTAACACCACATTTTAATTAAGTTCATTGCTGGAACTATAAATAAAAATAAATACCATATTTGGTCAATTAGAAGCTCTGATATAAACACATTTAATTTGACAACATTGCATTTGTTTACTAAATCATTAAAATATCACCTTATTTGACCATAGAAACCTCTCTGTAATTTGCATATTAAGAGATTACACTCCTAATATTGTGGTGATAAATGTCAAACATTTTGAGAACACCTGATACAATGTGAGTCAGTGAACTACTGATTGGACACTACCTGAATCATGACGGATTTGTTTTGAAATTTGTCCAGCATACAATTTTGTTTTACTCACAGTAGTACACTTTTAATACTCAAAATGATACCTTTTTAAAATACCTTATTCAAAATAATATCTTTTGTGAACACCTTACTCAAAATGTTACCCTTTTAAACACCTTAATCAAAATAATACCTCTCTTTTAAACACCTTATTCAAAATGATATCTTTCTTTTAAACACCTTATTCAATATGTTACCTCTTTTAAACACCTTATTCAATATGTTACCTCTTTTAAACACCTTATTCAAAGTAGTACCTCTCTTTTAAACACCTTATTCAAAATAATACCCCTCTTTTAAACACCTTATTCAAAATAATACCCCTCTTTTAAACACCTTATTCAAAATAATGCCCCTCTTTTAAACACCTTATTCAAAATGATATCTTTCTTTTAAATACCTTATTCAATATGATACCTCTTTTAAACACCTTATTAAAAATAATACCTCTCTTTTAAACACCTTGAGGTACATGTATCACAAGATTACCCGGTATGCTGTTTTATTCAGATTTCAACCATGTACAAATCCGCAAAATTTCGGTTGGTATTTCTATCGCACGTTTCAAGTTAAACATATAAATAGTTTCATCACCAGTTTCCAATAATTGAAATTGGTTGCATATGCTATCTTTTTGCATATACTATCTTGCTTCTCTAGTGTGTAAAAAGGGTGCTTGCAGATTGAAATTACGATTAAATGACCCAAAATAATTTTGTTTTCACGAAAATGAGTGGTTTGGGCTTCTGCATTCCTAACACACAATAGCACTGTAAAGCCAAATCTCAAACATTGATTATTATAATTTTAGATTATATTTCTCGTAATTTATAACGTGATCAATTTTCAGTGTATGAATAATCATCCATCATTAGCAATTAAAAATGTAATTCTATGTTCTTTAATTTTTTTATGGAAATTGATACTGAATTATGCACCTATCAAATTGTCCAAATTTGATGACCTCTGACCTATGTGTGCAGATTAATTAAATAATGATGATGTAAATTATTTTTGAGTTGTTTATGCTAGACTATACTTAAAATTGTAACAGCAGGTTTCTTCAACCCTGGGAGTGCCAAATTTTGTTCCTGCTCAAATTTGAATAATAAATTTGTGCATATTTTCTGTAATTTTCACTAAATTCAATCTTTATTTTGGACCAAACAAAATTGCTTCTAGTTTTTGATAACAAAATTTGAAATTTTCATGTGGAAAAGAGCAGACTATAAATGAAACTTGATTTTGGCGCTAAAATGGTTAATGCCCGCTATTTCATTCATGGCAAGGACGTTTTCTGCATAAAAATCCCATTAAATCAAGAATATTTATTATTTAAAATCATTATGATATTGATAACATGACATTAATAACGATTACACATCAATGATAGTGATTAAATGATACCACAATAATAGTAATGACATGACATCAATAATTGTGATTACATGATGCCATCAATAATTGTGATTACATGATGTCATCAATAATTGTGATTACATGATGTCATCTATAATTGTGATTACATGATGTCATCAATAATTGTGATTACATGATGTCATCAATAATTGTGATTACATGATGTCATCTATAATTGTGATTACATGTCATCTATAATTGTGATTACATGTCATCAATAATTGTGATTACATGTCATCAATAATTGTGATTACATGATGTCATCAATAATTGTGATTACATGTCATCTATAATTGTGATTACATGATGTCATCTATAATTGTGATTACATGATGTCATCAATAATTGTGATTACATGATGTCATCTATAATTGTGATTACATGATATCATCTATAATTGTGATTACATGATATATATAATAGTGATTACATATCTATAATAGTGATTACATGATATCATCTATAATAGTGATTACATGATATCATCTATAATTGTGATTACATGATATCTATAATAGTGATTACATGATATCATCTATAATTTTGATTATATGATATCTATAATTGTGATTACATGATATCATCTATAATTGTGATTACATGATGTCATCTATAATTGTGATTACATGATGTCATCTATAATTGTGATTACATGATATCATCTATAATAGTGATTACATGATGTCATCTATAATAGTGATTACATGATATCATCTATAATTGTGATTACATGATATCTATAATAGTGATTACATATCATCTATAATTGTGATTACATATCATCTATAATTGTGATTACATATCATCTATAATTGTGATTACATGATATCATCTATAATAGTGATTACATGATATCATCTATATTAGTGATTACATGATATTATTGATAATATTGATTACATGATATCATCTATAATAGTGATTACATGACATCATAAGTGATTACTTAAAAATCCCTAATATTAAATAGTCATTGCATGAACTGGATAAAATTGATTACATGAAATCATTTAATAAAATTCAGTTGATGAAATCAAAATAGTGATCCATTGAGATAAGAATAATAGCAGTATGCAATGAAATCTCAATAGCATCAAATGCATTAACCTTTTCATCATCAGACTTTCTCGCCCAAATTTTTCTGTAATTTTTTCTTAAATTCTTCAAAATTTCTGGAAATGAACCCTAATTTTGGAGTTAACAGACAAAATTTGAGTCAATTTTCAGTTTTTACTCTTTACTTTTAAAATCGGCTATATTTTAGCTTCGCTGTCGACTTGTCGTGCGGAGCTTATCATATGAGTGATTGTCCGTCGTCGTCCGTGTCCGTGTCAATGTTTTACTTTTTCGACTTCTTCTTGAAAACTATAAGCCTGAATGCTTTGATACTTGGTGTATATGTACCTTGGGTAGACCTCTCTCAGATTTGTTCATTTCATGATCATATCTTCAATTCTCTAATTTTGGTGAATATTTTTGTCATTTTTGGTAAAAAGTGATATTTTCGACTTCTTGTTAAAAACCGCAAGTCCAATTGCTTTGATATTACATATATAGGTACTACAAGTGGATCTCTCTCAGATTTGTTCATTTTGTAATGATATCTTTAGTTCTCTAATTTTAATGAATATTTTTGTCATTTTTGGTAAAAAGTGATATTTTCAACTTCTTGTTAAAAACCGCAAGTCCAATTGCTTTGATATTACATATATAGGTACTACATGTGGATCTCTCTCAGATTTATTCATTTTGTAATGATATCTTTAATTCTCTAATTTTGGTGAATATTTTTGTCATTTTTGGTAAAAAGTGATATTTTCTTCTTATTAAAAACCACAATCATTTATGGTGAAAAATGATATTTTTGAATTCTTGTTAAAAACAGCAAGTCCTATTGCATTGATACTATGCATATTGTTCATTTTCTAATGATATCTTCTGTTCTATAATTGAAATGTGCATTGCAAACAGCGGAGCTATCTCAGCCGAGAGGCTGCTTGTTTCCAATCTTTTGAAAGACTATTTGTGATGGAAAGAGGGAACTGGTGGTGAAAAGGTTTAAATCAGGATATTATCAATTACAGCATAGCTACAGAATATTAGAGATTACGTTGTATCTTTGTTTTCCTTGTACATGTAACATGTAATCAGGCATAGGATTAGGATAGATTCATAAGATTTTTTGACCAGTGCAATTTTGATTGTTAATGATGATTGATACAACAAGCAATTTGTAATTGTGAGTCCCACGCAGTGAGTAACTCGTTTATGACTTTTGTGTCTGCAAATAACAGCCGTGATTCAGCCTGTCCTGGCTGACTAATCTCTCAAGTTCAATTTATTACCTTGTCCAGAATATGAGTGGTCAAGCCGTGTCAGATGTCAGTTGTCATTATCCTAGTTAAAATTTGTTCTTATTTAACAGAGACCCCACCACCTGGCTACATGAGTGAAGACGGGGATAACCAGGACCAGAGCATGGACACCTCCACCCCTGGGGGTAAGTAAGAATTTCTGAGGGGTTTTCAGATTTACAATTTGCTTAAATTTAACTTTGTTCTGCTAGACTAAGGTTGGTAATTTTAATTTGATGAGACATTTTAGGGTTATTTGGGCAGTAAGTCAAAGTGAATTTTGTTTTTGTAGTTTAGGACCTCAAAATAAGAAAATTACAAGCTGTAATTGGTTAATTCAGTGGAAACAAACGTGTAGCTACTCAAAACAGCCGCATATTTAAAAAAAAAAATATGTTTTAACATTAAAAATTGAGTAGATTTCCAGTTTTGTTGGCACCGCTTATTCCTCTTTACTTGAAAGTAAATCTTCTTTACTTAATATCGTACATGTCAGCGGAAATATGTCATGAAACTGACGAGGACAGATGAGAACAAAAATCAGCTGGGTATGTGTCAAGGCTGCCGCTTATGATGATTATATGCACCATTGAACGTTGTTCGTAAAGCTTTTGGCATCAGCAGGCTGAAAACTGAAATAAAGGTTTTCACATTTTCATTATCACAATAACAGCTAATGTAAATCATCTGTTACATTTTCACATGCATCTGTTTTTTTTATATTCACACTAAACAAGCCTTGTTTCATGGGAGAAGGAGGGAGGGGGTCCAATTAAAGGGAGGGGGTCCAATTAAAGGGAGGGGGTCCAATTAAACAAATTCAAACACACAAATATGTATTTCCTTTGTTTTAAGAGAGAGGTGGTTTCAGATTATGTACGTCAAGCATGGATTCGAGTTCACAGTGGCGAGTGTTTGTAAAACATTGTTCATGTAGTCAGTGTAGTATCTCGTATAGTGGTGCGTAGCCCACATGTTGCTCTTTGTTTGCTTTTCAAAACTAACAAAAATTAACATAATGAATATTAGAATGCCCCAGAGCATGAATAATGTATGAAATAATGCATTGTACTACCGATAATAATAAAAAAATAATATATGTCCAAATAAGATATTATTTTGGGAAACAAAGTTTTTTCGAATATAAAAAAATCATAATATTCTTCTAGCTAAATGCCATATCTACTTTTCTAAAATGAGAAATGAAAAACCTTTTTTCCATGGATGTCTATATCTCATTAGGCAAGTTTATAATTTTGAAAAAGAGATAGCTATAGGGGGAGGCAAATTAGCGAAGCACACTGAAAAATGGGAATCATTTAATATGCTGTGACGTTGACATACCCCCTTTTTCTTTTTACTTTATATTCGTATTCTTATAATTATCTCGTTGCTATATTTTTTTGTAGAAATTTTACTCTTTTGATGGGATGAATTTATGTATTTATATATGTAGTTAACGTAAAAAAAAACAAAAAAACATTGTTCATGTAGTCTGTGTAGTATCTCGTATAGTGGTGCGTAGCCCACATGTGTTGCTCTTTGTTTGCTTTTCAAAACTAACAAAAATTAACATAATGAATATTAGAATGCCCCAGAGCATGAATAATGTATGAAATAATGCACTGTATTACCGATAGTAATAAAAATAATAGTAATAATCTTTCATGAAAATATATTGTTTTATTTTGATTGGCACGTAGATAAATAAATTTGACAAATGAACAAATCATTGAAAATTTCAAACGTTGGTAATTCCTAAAATGCATTTACTATTAGAAAAACAGCGTCATAAACAGCAAATGAACGTTATAAATTTGTGTTTTTGATAGCACAATGTTCAAAAAAATTGTGAAAAAAACAAACAATTGCATAATAAATGACTATGCACGAAAGATGTATATTTGTGAGACATTGATAGGAAGGGACACTTAGCTAAATGAATCCTGGGAATCTAAAAGTACAAAGAACAAGACAACAAAAAAATTATGGAAATAAGACTACAAAAGAATCCTGGAAACTATGCAACAAACAACTCCTGCGAACAAAGGAATGCTGGAAAGTGAGACGACAAAAGGATCTTAGAAACTACATTGTATGCAACAATGGAATCTTGGAAATTGCATGAGACAACAAAAGAATCTTCAAAACTATGCAAAAAGACAACAAGACATCAAAGGAATCCTGGGGAATGAGACAACAAAAGAATCTTAGAAACTATGCAACTAAGTAATCCTGGAAAACAAGACAACAAACGACTCCTGGAAAACAAGACAACAAACGACTCCTGGAAAACAAGACAACAAACGACTCCTGGAAAACAAGACAACAAACAACTCCTGGAAAACAAGACAACAAACGACTCCTGAAAAACAAGACAACAAACAACTCCTGAAAAACAAGATAACAAACGACTCCTGGAAAACAAGACAACAAACGACTCTTGGAAAACAAGACAACAAACGACTCCTGGAAAACAAGACAACAAACGACTCCTGGAAAACAAGACAACAAACGACTCCTGGAAAACAAGACAACAAACAACTCCTGAAAAACAAGACAACAAACGACTCTTGGAAAACAAGATAACAAACGACTCTTGGAAAACAAGATAACAAACGACTCCTGGAAAACAAGACAACTAACAACTCCTGAAAAACAAGACAACAAACGACTCCTGGAAAACAAGACAACAAACGACTCCTGGAAAACAAGACAACAAACGACTCCTGGAAAACAAAAAAGAATCTTAGAAACTATGAAACTAAAGAATCCTGGAAAATGAGACAACAAAAGAATCTTGAAAACAATACTACAAGAATTCATTCAACAACAAAATGATCTTCAAAACAATGCAATGAAAACATCCAGGTAGAAGATGACAAAAGAATTTTGGAAACTTCACAACAAATAAAATCCTTGAAAACAAGTCAACAAAAGAATCCAGGAAAGAAGAAGACAACAAAGGAATGGGTGAATAGATATAAAAAAAAGAAGTTGTTGAAATAAGAAGAAGGCCAATTTACTGCTAGGAAAGGAGATGATACTGAACTGGAATTAACAGAAATTGAAAACGATTGCGTGGGATAATGACTTTAACAGTTTAGTTGAATTATGTATGCTTTTAACAGAGATTGTCAAAAATACCACAGGTATTCATTTTAAAATTATTTGAGAAAAACGTTTAAACTAGGTCATCACACTTTTGTTAATCTTGCTTTCGTAAATGTGTGTGGCTTTAAATAGAATGTAATTCATCCTAGTCAAAGTCTGTCAGTGATAAATGTCAAATGGTCATGAAAAAAAAAAAAAGAGTTTTCTCATGAAAGTATGAAAACTCACATAGCCAACAAAAATATTCTAAAATTTGTATTTTTCCTGTTAAATTTGTTTCTCTGTGGGGCTTTCAGCAGGTGATATTTTAGGGAGGTATGACTGATATAAAAATCATACAATAAAACCATTTATTTTCACAGATATTAAAAGTACATTGTTAACGCACCACAAATATGCAGCATGGATAGATTCATATGATATGACAAGCTAGTATATATTACATCTTACGAATCTCACTGTTTTTTTTTTTTTAAATTTGTTTGTTTACATGTATTGGTAATTTGCATCTGAAACATTTGATTTTATTGTCTTTGTGCATTACAGCCAGTGAACGAAAAATATCTCTTGTTTATACTGAATCGTACAATAGACTAAGTTCATTATGATGAGGGTATTTCTTGTCTAAATAAACACGTTTTTATAATAGTTGTATAGACTTGGTCATATTGAATTTTTTTTTTTTTCAACGTAATATATTACTCACTTTATATGATATGTACAGTGTTTTCCATTTCCTTGTGAAAGTTGTTAACAATGAATTGATAAGACTTTATATTCCGATTTCCATCCAGTGAGTACCACCAGAGTTAACTCTGTCATCATTTAACAAAATAAAATGTGCAATTTTTGTTTTCAAGTTTATTTTCTCCAAAATTATAAAAAAAAAAAAAAAAATAGCCTACTAATGAAAGGCTGACATTCGTGATATTAGATTCCCCTGGATACCTGTTTTATCTTGTACCGTGTGATCAATCACCACTGGTACTGGAGACCTCTTTCTTGTCTCGACTACATCTTCATATTGATCATGGTAAAAAAAAAAAAAAACATTATACATACATATAGCGTATACTATTTTTCAAATTCCAATTTGCTTCAATTGGCCCCCCTTTGCCATCACAGAACAATGAAAAGCTATAGCACTCGCTCAGAAACTGCACCTTAAGTTCCCAAATGTAAAAACTAATATGAGAGTGATTTGTTTAGAATCGAATAATATATCCCCAAAATGAAACTGATTCAAACAACACTGATGCGAGGAAATATTAGAAAAGTTGACATAGTAAATTATTTTCTCTATATGAAACTCTTGTATCATATTCACTGAAACCACCCTTGCAAAAAGTGATTTTTCAAAAGAGGCCTACATTTGCCTATTGATCCTTGACCCTGATCAAATTCTAATTGCATGTGTATAAGCTGCAGTTGTGCGTGTGATGCACGTTTCTCGGTTTCTTTTTATTTTGAAAGACTTTTGTTAAACTAAAACCTAGTGTGACCTGCTTCTTGTACATGCATGAGTTCACTTCATCAGATTCTACACATATTCATTACGCATCACTGCAGATGGTTTTGAAAATCAGAAAAGCTTACATAATCTAACGTTGTTAGCATGAACAGTGACATCTTGCGTCTATTGTCTGTGAATACAACCTAAAGCCTGCAACAAAACCGGTTCATTTCGCCATCCTTTCTTTATGTAAATCCAAATTCAGATTTATGTCGCTTTTTTACGCTATGTTTACACTTTGACTTGATGCTTTTCGTACTCTGAAGTTTATTGGAACATAACCAAAAAATTCTTTCTTTTTTTTCCCCAAAGATTGACAAATTTAGATTATTTTTAATAAAATTGACAATCTTTCTGTAAAACTTTGCACTCGTTATCATCTTCCGTCATTTTGACACAGGTCTGTTTGACCGAACTTGTGTCAAAGCGTGAGAGGGGGGGGGGTGTTCTTTTCTTTAAACAGTTCATCTTCAGTATAACCTCTAGCTAGGCTAATTTTGAAGAAAATTGGAATCGCCCAAAGTCAATTTGAGTCAGCTTTTTGATTGCTGGGGAGGGAGGTCTTCATGAAAAAATAAATAAAATAAATTGCACATGAATGTACAAGTGGCTTGAGGCACAAACAACAATTTTGGGGAATTTTATTTATGTTTATAGAATGAGAATTTCATTATACTGTAAAGGGGGTAATTATTCACTGGGTTTTAATTTAGCTTATTTCGCTGACTGGAAAAATGCGCTAAATTAAAACACAGTGAATATGTAAAATTTAGCATAAAACACATTATCTAAATGACGAAACCGTGAATTTTAAACCCACTGAATATGCCTGAAATGGTAAATCAGTGAAATTTAAACCCAGTGAAAATTAGTCATTTTACAGTACCAATTAAATTTATAACTATAGATGTATTTCAAAATCATGCCCAATCGTCCCAACTCGTTGCATCACATCAAATCAGATCAGATCGAATCTGTGTATGTCAGCAGAGTACCATTATGGCACACTGGTCACCTTGTGTTTAAATTGTAAAAGGACTGCCAATCGGTGGTCGCTGTGAGCAGATCAGGTCACCAACACAGGTTTTGACTGTTGTAATAACTGTGTTATAAAAACGGAACTCTAAAACCCCTCTCGGTATAAAACATATTAAATTACATGTAATTTACAATCAAATACGCTAGCAGGATATAATAGGGTTTGATGGTAAGTGTTGTGGTATTTAATATACAAATCTCAAATACACCCATAGGGTTGCCGAATAATAGTATTACAATGGTTTCTCACTCAATGTCCTTGTTCAAGATTATATGGTGCCAAAACCTAGATTATTTAATTAATTTTGAATTCTCAGTTTGTGTTACCATGGCACCATGGGATTAATATGACTAATCTTAATGACTTTAACATCCATGAAGTATCATCTAGAGATTGGTTTTCATCAGGGACTCCTAATGTCAAGGCAAACAAAAGTACCTTAATTAACTGTTTATTTAAGGATATCAAGGTTCCAGATAGGGCATATAACCCAAGCAATTCTTGCCTTGTTTGATATGTGACCACATCATTCAATCATATTCATGTCTGTAATCACATGACTGTCATCCAATCAGATTCATTTTTTGCAATCACATGACACCTAAACCCTGTATTTGTTAACCCAAGATAAGTATCTCGCAATGTCATGGTTTTTTTCTTTCTAACCTGTAGGGAATGGAGCAGATGCTGCTGCAAGTCCAAATCCATCTTTGGGTAAGTCTTTTGGGACAAATGCAATTAAAAGGAAATTTGAGTGTTGGCATAAGTTGTGCTAGAATTAATAAACTTTTTACACAAGGGATCGAGATGTAGCAAATTGCAATATGAATGTAAGTTTCAGTTAAACTTGTCGCAATATTGCCAACTAATAATTTGCGCAAAGTCCCAACTGTCTACTTCGTATCTCAGATAATGCTGTAAAAGGTCAAAGGTCGTTGTCAGAAGTATATACCGTATATTTTTAAAAGTTTTGGTGTTAAACCATCTAGTGGCGGGTACCTTAAGCATTCCTGATTTTCAACAGACATGAACTTTATAACTTTAATGCCAATCACTTCTGCCAAGGTTATTTTACAGTAGGAATTTAACCATATTCTGTGTTTGGAACTACAATCATAGTGGCATTATGTTTAAGAAATGCGCTAAGAACCTGTTTATTGTTTTGTTCCAGATGTGCAGCCAGTTCCATACTGTGAGCCGCCATTTTGGTGTTCCATTGCGTATTACGAAATGAACACGAGAGTTGGTGAGACATTCCACGCCTCGCAGCCATCTCTGACTGTGGATGGTTTTACGGATCCGTCCAACTCGGAACGATTCTGTCTCGGACTCCTATCAAATATTAACAGAAACCAAACCATTGAACTTACCAGAAGACACATTGGTAGGTATTCTAGAAATACAACATTACCTCGAAAGCTGACAAACTTTTCATAAAATATAGAAATTGTGTTTTCAAAACAAATATAAACAAAATATCACTTATGTCGCTATGTTATCCATACATGCTTCGTAAAATATTTCTGTGAACAAAATATGAAATGTATGAATATTCATCTCATGAAAACTCTACAGCAGCATACAATATTTTATATTTTCTTAATTTTTTACCACTCTTCAAATTAACCTGTTATAGGACAAAATAAACACAACTTGATTGGACGACGGTGGTGTCTTGTAAAGACCTAGGAGCTGAATGTGTTTTTGTAGCTTACCCTGTACCTCTTTATGGCTAACCCACAATGCCCCACAAATTGTTAATAAAGGTAAAACGTTTGTTTTAATTTATTTTTCAGGTAAAGGTGTTCGATTATATTACATAGGAGGTGAAGTATTTGCGGAATGTTTAAGTGAAAGTAGTATATTTGTACAAAGTCCACAGTGTAATCTACGATATGGATGGCACCCGGCCACTGTTTGCAAAATTCCACCTGGTAGGTTAAAGGTTATTAATTCTTTTATGAGACTTGAGAGGGCGCTGTCTATATAGTTACATCTTTGAAATCTGTATTTTCAGATCATTATGCAAACACTATATCTTGCATGTTTGTTTGTTTTAAAAACAGTGCCCCCATTATACATTTTTAAAAAACAGAAGTACAATGCAAAGTATTTGAATAATTTTCGTTTCACCATTGCTTTGCTTTTGTGAGGATAGAATCAGTTAATAATATGATTTAAACTTACTTTTCTTTGCTTTAGGCTTGCGTAAATTTGGGTCAATTTGTTTACACTTTCTGTAATTTTCACTGAATTCAATCTTAATTTAAGACCAAGCACACTAAATGCGACATTTTTCTAGTTTTTGATCAGAAATTTAAAAATTTTCGTAACGTTTTATGCCGAAATAAGCAGACTATAAATGGAACTATTTTGCGGAGAGTGTCTGAAGTTGACTTTGGTGCCCAAAGAGTTAATTAAGCAGATAGCTTCCATGTGCGTACAATTCTATGCAAGAATTTGGCCGAGAGTTGAATATCTGTAATGTTCGATAATTTTCGCCATGAGTGATTGACTGCTTACCGTGTGTTGTGAATGAAAGCTATCTGCTGAGGAATTTTGCCTGAGCTTCTAATAGGGTTAATATGATATTTTATCTTTTTTTTTTTATTTTCTCATCTAGGTTGTAATCTGAAAATTTTTAATAATCAGGAGTTTGCAGCGTTACTTTCACAGTCTGTGAACCAAGGATTTGAAGCGGTTTATCAGCTGACTAGGATGTGCACTATACGTATGAGTTTTGTCAAAGGTTGGGGTGCTGAATACAGACGTCAAACGGTGACCAGCACGCCATGTTGGATCGAATTACATCTTAACGGACCATTGCAGTGGCTGGACCGTGTTCTGACGCAGATGGGATCGCCGCGAGTGCCGTGTTCGAGTATGTCATGAGAATCGAGTAATTATTGGTGTAAGCAGCTGACACAATAAATGTTGCACCATGTACAGAACTATGAGAGACCAGAGATTCCAGAGCATCATCTTTCTGTTTCCAGGCAACCAATCTCATCCATGATGATCGTGTTCATCCAAAAACAATTGAAAGGCCAGCTTCCAAATTATCCTCACAAAAAAAAAACGGGACATCAAAATAAAAGAAGCTGCTGAAGAGCCCCCCCCCTATAACTTTGATTATACTACAACGAATAGCGCCACCAACTTTAATTATACTATAATGAAGGGCGCCACCAACGTTGAAGCCAATTTGATAAATAGCGCCACCAACTTTGGAGGCGCTATTAATGTATAATGACACCTCACTGAATGGTGTCACCACAATTGTATTTCACATATTCTGGTGAAAATTGTGCAGAATCATTACTGACAATGTGTAAATATATATTGAATTTCTTATTGCAAACAAAAAAGGAAGTAAAAAAAAATATTTTTAAGAAAAACAAAACAATAAAAAACTGGCCAACATTTTACAAAGTTAGTTAGGTATATGCATCATTTGTCTCCATGGTAATCTATAGTTTAATACCTGTATAGAAAGGTTATTTTTAGAGTATCTTTTGGAGCTACTGCATTTGTGCAGTTGAAAGGTGCTACATGAACGAGGATAACTAGTGATTACTCGTATAACCTAGAAAAGGTATACATAGAAGATAATCATTTTCTATCAAGTTTATCAGTACCTGTTACAACCAGTCATAACTGCTTGTACCTTGTCAAATGCAGATATTAAACATGTTTACATTATTTTTTTCAAAACTATTGATATAGCCAGATGTATCTTGAAATTATTTTCTTTTAAACACTATTTTTTTTAAATCAAAATTTTGATGCCAGTCAGTGTTATCTTTTTTTTTTCCGCAACTGCCTACACCTCGCACTAATATCATACCCTTCATTTGGATTTGATTGGATAGGATTGGGAAAAATTTAGCAGTCAGATTTATATATAAATATATATTTAAAAAAAAAAAAAGTACAGATTTTTTTTCTTTCTTTATGTTGCTATCGCTTGTGTGGTAATTACTCTAACTTTATTATCTTGTATAACTATAGCACAGTGAGCTTCCCGTCGCAGTAAACAAGACAAAAGTCACATTATGTGAAGTTACTATGTACCGCATTTATTTCACGAGTGGCAATTTTCGTATGGTTCACTGGATTTGGGAAAAATGTTATAGCTGTTTTCACTTTAAAAAAGGAGTGAATGTGACCTTCAAGTTTCAGCCTTGTAAACATTCTCGAATTATTGAATCAAGAAAATTTTATCTATTTACAGTATATATTGTGAATGATGTATGGGTTTGAATTTGTCGCCCTCTATAGTTGACCTCATAATTTGTCACCCTCTGTAGTTGACCTTTCTATTACTGATATCCCGAAAACATAACCATATTTTCGCTTTAAATATAAATAAAAAAATTATTTTATCCCCTAATTTTGAACTACTGTGAAGTTCATAGAAAATTCGTTGAATGTGTTTTGAATGCCATTTCAAAAGGAAATACAATGTAGCAAGAATAGATCAGTCTTAATTGAATTAAATAATACCGGAGGATTAATTTACTGCTTTGGCCAATCATGTCATAAAATCTGGAGGAAATACATTAACTCTTAAACTGCCATAATTTTTCCTGCTAAAATGCTGGTGTAAATTTTGCACACTTTCATGTATTTTTCTAAAATTCCTTTGTTAATATTGGCCAAAATGAAAATATTTCTAATCATCTTTGGGTTTTGATCACAATTATTGACAAAATGTGGGTTTATTTCGTAAAATATAGTCAAAGATTTGAAAGTGGTTGCCGCCATCCTCTACAGCAGTTATTAAAAGTTACACCGTTTCCATGACAATATCAGTAATTTACTCATCTTTTGCATATTCAGGCCGATTAAAAATTTCGGCTCTAAATCTACTGATCAAAAAATGAACTTGTTTTATGAGCTGTGATGATTCCTGTACGAGATTTCACTCAAAGGGCGGTGGTCGACGTGCTATGTATGCAGGATATGGGTCTTGTGTAAACAAAGATGATAACTTCGTTGCGCAGACCAGCGAATACAAACTGAGACGTTGCCCTGGCACACTTTAGTTGGGTATTTTTTAGGTGATTGGAAGATATGAAAGTAGTCACTGGCGGTAATTCGTGCAAGTCGCGCCCAGGTTAAAACTCGAACACATTAGATGGTCGGAAAATTAATAATCACAAATGCGTGGCGCAAAAACCACCGCTCTTTAATTAAGTTTGGACACTTGTATTATTGGAGATTATATACAAAAGTCACCAGTGTTTTGCATGACTTTTTTTATTTCAGCCAATCTGTAAAGAAATATTATGGGATGGCCCTCTTCGCATTCAGGTACTTGCATGTTCATATTTTGTGTTGATAAGTGGCAAGGGCTTGCAATTACATGCACTGAAGATCTTGCTAATCACAAATAATCGTGTTTACATTTCTTGCGAGGTCGGGATATAATCACATTTTTAAAAACCTCGCTCACATCCGTTTTCACAATTGAACAAATGTTTGTTGCATTCTGTGATGCTACGTAGAACGCGTGCACAATTCCTTTCAACTTGCTGCACAAACAAGTTGTATGATTTCAGTGAGATCTTCATCCCATTCTCTATGCATACTACCTGCCCTTGTCTTTATCTGCCTTTGAGCATGTGCAGTTTTATACACTTTCAATAAGCATAATTTCCCATGGTACATTTGAATAGGGACGGGGATGTATTAAACGGGAGATATTTTACGTACCTTGTATCTTTCAAAATATAAAAAAAATTGAGGTTATGAAAACAAAACCTGGTGTCATGGCAACAAACATCATGAATTCTTTTCCTTTTCATTTGCTGATGAACTTTCACCTACATATTGTCTTTATTACCACCAGGAGGGTGCTGTGCGTTACATTCCTAGAAATAAACTAGGTCAAAATTGCATGTTACAAAAGCATATTTTCTATCAACAATTATTTTTTTATTTTTGGTCAACCAAGAGTGTGAATACCAGTATGTAATAGTTGTTCAAAAAGCCAGAGCCAAACGATTTAAGTAGCTGATTGATTTAGTTATTATACACGTCATTGACGGGTCTAGGTGTCTACAGATATAGTGTAGAAAGAAGTGCCAGCATGACTTTAAACGCAACACAATATACACTGATAACATAAATATGCGTTTTTTTTTCTATTTTGAATGTTTGAAAAAATCTGCAAAAAATAAATTGACTGGACACACTGAAATGGTTGCCAAGGTAACCTATATATTTGTAGTCAAGAATCTTCCTGGATTATACTAATAAAGATTGGTTGTTTATAATTTTGTGTTTCTGTGACTTTGTTTTGAAACTATGGTAACAAATCTGTAACTATGGTAACGTCAATCCATCAAATAAGGTTAATTTATTTTATTTTTTCCATTGCCCATACATCTTGATAAAAAAAAATTACAGGATCATGTGATGAAAATGGTTACTATTTAGTCCCTGTTCAGATGCAGTCCGAAAACTGGGACTTGTGTTTTGACCTGCGTGCGTGCGTGCGTGCGTGCGTGCGTCCGGAACTTTATCTTTAAAAACTGCCTGGACGAATCAAACTTCACACATGCATCATACATGATTTTATACATATGCAGGTCAATTTGTTTCACGATCTGATTCAAGATGGCCTAATGGCGGCCATTTTTGTGCTAAAAACCATCAAAATCAAGCATTTCCCAGCTGTTTACAGATGAAATTTTTTTCAAACCTTATATATATGTTGGACATTATAGGACCTTGATGCACATCATTTTGTTTTACAATCTGATTCATGATGGCCGAATGGCGGCCATTTTTGTGCTAAAAAATCCTAAAAATCAAGCATTTCTCGGCTGTTTACAGATAGATTTTGTTCAAACTTGGTATATACATTAGACATTATGGGACCTTGATGCAAATAATTTTGTTTTTCAGATAAGATTCAACTGGCGGCCATTTTGTTTAATGAATGTGGTTCTCGTGCCATATCTCTGACTTGCTTTCATTGATTATGTTCAAATTTTAAATATTCATTATACATCATGTCATAGATAGACAGATATATTGGTTTGATGATCCTATTCAAAATGGCCAAATGGTGGCCATTTTTGTGCTAAAAAATCATCAAATATCAAGCATTTATGGGTGGATTTCGTTCAAACTTGGTACATACATTTGACATTACGGGTTTCTGATGCATGTCATCATATTTTTCAAATTGGATTCAAAATGGCTGACTACGGCCATTTTGTTTTAATGATTGGGCTTCTAGAGCCATGTCTCTTAAATGCTTTGACTGATTATGTTCAAATTTTATATATTCGTTATACATCATGTTATATATATACATGTATTCAAAATGGTTGATTTTGAATTCTGTTCCAGAACAATATCTCTCAATATGGACAAGTACTTGTTTGACGATCAGATACAAATGTCAATCATTTTAATGTTAAAAAAAATCATATTTCTGGCATGGTTATATTCCAGCTATATTACTATAAAACAAAACTATATATCTTAAATTTAATAACTAACGGGGACTGTGCCATGCATGGCTTGTTGAATTTAGAGGGAGGCCAAATGATTTTTTTTTTTTTTTGCTATTAGTTTATTCACAATTAACATTTTACCAATTATTTTACACTGTGATCATGAAAATATTTGTATTTTTTGAACAAAACCCAGCCTACTCTCAGTTTTCAAATTATTTCTATTTGAAAGCTGTATACATTATTTGTAACCACTAAGTGGGTAGTTTTAATTTAGCAAAAGTGTCTCGCATTTATTACTGAAATTATTAATGTAAAGCTCTAAAATTACTTAAAAGCATCATTTCGAGCCATAAAAATTGTTAATTCTAGCAGAAAAAGGGCTCATGTAATTTGTCAATCGTGTATAAAAGGAATATAAGAAAGGTATATAAGAAAAGTATAGAATTATTGCCAATTTTTTATTCTCATTTTGGCTTTTTTTTTAAAGTGGTAAGAGTCTGGGGGTACTGGCAGCACATTCCTATAATTTGTAAGGGAAGAACCATCGCCACCCACATTATGCTGAAAAAGTATATCCCTTAGACAGACTTGGTGTAGGACTCGAAAACGAACACAGTTTGGTGATAGCGCCACCAATGGTGAGAGTTGTGTAACATTCTGTTTTTACCGCAAGATGTCTATTGAATAAACACTACGTGTTCGGGACATTATCGAATCTTCTCTGAATCTGAGGAAGCGTAATTCTCCCTGTAATACCTTTCGACATTGAGGCAAAAACTGTTTCTACATAATTACTGTTGTATATTGTGTTTACGTGGACGTATCAAGCGAAACGAGCACAACATTACGAAGTTTTCTGTGAAGTGAAGCGTATGCTGCATAATTATCACCCCAGCAAGTTAAAGCGGAGGAGTCGTGATCTGCGCATGCGTCAGATGGCCATAGCGTGTCATTGTTTATAAACAAGCATCTACCCATGAGCCTTTGCGTTTTTAGCGTGTGTTGTTATCATCGCTTGCACAGGTGACAATCTTCCCGCTGAATGACCCAAGTAAGAGATCCTAAGAGTATAACGTAGACTGGCTGTCAGTAAAAATTATCGTATTGGCGTACTGTTTTTTTTCAGTATTTACTAGAAAAGTACTCTTTCTCTGTTCTTAACAATGCCCATTTACAAGGAAAGTACTGTTTTTTTCAGAACGATCTTGTTTTCGCATTATCTAAGTGGAGAGTGCCTCGTTACTATTTAAAAATTAGACATTTTATTTTGACCAGCAACACCCTCGATTCCAATAAACAATTTCTCAATAGACGAGATGCGTTGATGCGTGGTAACCTTGACCATGGAGGTGAACAGAGTTTTACCTCCGTGCCTCGACTGGCAAAGTCGGACATCTTTGTTTGTTTTGCAAAAAGAAATAAATTGTTTTAAGTCCTTTTAGCGCGATCGCGAAAACTAACGTTTACCGATCACGCGAAAAAGACAATATTGACAATGATATTTCCTTTGTAAAACAAAAAAGAAGTCCCGACTTTGCCAGTCTAGTGGTAACCCGTACTGGACGAGCTAAGTCGATCGCAAAAATGTGGTACACTGTGACACGTACGGCCCATTGTCCTATACAAAAGGAGTAACGTAACACTCGTACATTGTAAAAACACACAACCCGCGATGGGGCTGCAGAAAACCACCTAAAACTTGCCAAATTTGCAGTATTACTTTGTTAAAATACTGCAACGCGGACGCTAATAAAGTTAAAGGGCGGTGGTTGTCACGCCGCGTTCTGTTCGATATGGGACTCATAGCGACGTATACAACGCATGTAAAATACATTGTTTTTTTACTTGAAATTCGAACACGCGCTGCGCGACGACTACCGCGCTTTGCTGCATGTTCGTGGTCTCGGTTCGAGTAAACATTTACGCGTATTCATTACAAGCGTGCCATTCAGTAGCATTGGGTGAACAAAGCGGGTAAAATTACTAAAATGAAGAATAATGTTGAGATTTAACGTTTTTTTTTGTGTGAAAATGTAGAAATTGGTGGCCCGTTTTAGCCAAAATGTAGAATTAATACCCACTCTAATTTTAGCATATTCATACAATTCAATGATAACTACAATTTAAAACAGTTTTAAAAAGTTTGCACCACATTGAATTATTATAGCCCACAAAACGCATACTAGTATTCAACAAAATCAATAGTTCTGTGTTAAAATTGGCTGGTAATCCATTACACTATATAAGAAAATTTACTTGTATAATTTAACTTTCAGACAGCACATTCACAGTCATCCCTCGGCGCAAACCACGCCCTCTTTCGGCAACTCCAAGAAATATTTTTTTGAGTGGGGCGGAAAAAATACTCTGGCGGGCGAGAATGGACGCTGATTGGTTATGTCTTTTCATGACGTCTACTCATGAATATTACTATGTCGGCTTCCAAATACAAGCTTTGTCGCCGTATTTTGCCAGAGTAATTTTTGAGTGGGACGGAATGTAGTAATCGGACAACCATGCAAACCATGTTCCCAATTGTCCTAGAAATTGCTACAAGTTCACAAGTTTTCAACAAAAAAAAGTTCATGATTTAAATTGTCCTAGAAATTGCCAAACGTTCATGATTTCGTCTGTTAGAAAAAAAAACTTCTCAAAAGGCGCGTGGTCCATTCAACTTGCTACAATATCTCAATAGAGTCGTTGTATCTATTACACGATCGTTATACTTTTCCCGTAGCTCGAATAAGCTGGCATTAAGGCTTCTGTGGATTTGTCTCTGGTAACGTCTGAGTTTACCATCCCTCAATAGCTTCATATTTATGCTGATTAGCAGAGCTCCTTCATACAGGAGTGTATGTATGAAGGAGCTCTACTAATCAGCATAAACATGAAGGGCTTCTGGTCAACTCGACCCCAAGTCAACTCGACCCCCGTATCAATAGTGTAGGTATTGGCGAACGCTTTCCTGCAACGTTTACATGTTGCCCGTAAGTCGCACTCTAATCACCACTTAGCACATGGCCAAAGGGAACGAATTCCATTTCATGATGACCTTACCCGAATATTGACGAGAAAAAAATGTATATATTTTGTTACCATAGTTCTGAAAGCTGTGGACTTCGTTGTCATGACAACCCACGACAAATTAGTTTATCTGTTCTCGGCAGTTGCTATACTATATATATCAAAAAGTGCATAATAAGAAAAAGACAACGACGCTTATGCAAGTGGACATTTGGCGGATGACTAGAATTATTAGCTTGTAGTAATATTTGAATTGTTTTAACATTTTATAACAATTCTTATATTAGTTTTTTTTTTCGGGTACTATCATCGTCCTTAAAAACTACACCCGGGGAAAATGACCAAATATTGCAAATGGCTGTTGACAATGTCTCGATTTGATCCAGTTTGTGTTTGCTGATACTTCATCTCTTTAGGTCATATTATGGAATGTTCATGGGGGGGGGGGGTCAGTGTCGTCAATACAAAATAATTTTATTTCTGCAATAATAACAAAATAACTGTACTAATTGCAATTCATATCTCTGAGGGCGCTTTATCAAGCAAAGCTACTTCCGGGTTCGGCGCCATGTTGAAATAAAATAAACCGTTGAACCAAGTTTCTTGTCACGTGTACTCTGAAATGAGGTTATTTAACACTTTTACCGAATAAGTGGAATATAGGTAGCACGCGGTGACTGATAATTAAGGCAACCATTGATGTATTCACAACGCTTAGTAAACAGGGAGTCCTCGAACGTGTTTAACTTGACGAAGACAAATCCAGGTAAATTCACGTTTATTGACTTTCTCGGTGACTGTGGTACTAGAGTTTGTTTCTCATGAACGAATATCGTGTGCACACAGGTGCTACGTGACTTTCTCAGCCGTGGTTTCGCGTCGTTAGGGTACGGCTAGGTCCTGCTTCGCCTGTCTGTAAACACGACATGCAGCGCCGGTGTACAGGCAGTGTTTATCATTTCGCAGGGTTGGGTCATTCCAGTTTTTGCCCCCTCCCCCCCCCCCACGGATGGATATTAAGGTTAAGACATCCTATGGATTCAAATCCACCATTCAGGTGTCGGATTTTTGTTAACTAACACCCCCCAGAAACTTTACTGATTTGACATATACGTATGGGTAAAAATATGACACCTCTCGGAATAGGTGATTTTCCGTACAATTACGAGATCTCGCAAGATGCATGAAAGACGCGCGTCGAACGTCTGCCGCAAAAATCGAACGATTTGATTTTGAACTAGAATTTCTTTATTTCGTAGCTTACATTGACCGGCCGATCTTCGACAGAGGAATACTGCTTCCGAATACCCTTACTTAAATCGAAATTGCCTCTCATCAAATGTGGACAGCACATTATCAAGCTT